ACTGAGATAAAGATACCTGCCTAGGAGTTCTCCCAAATGTTACAGAAATGGCACGGGCGCAAAGTCACATAAAGGGTGACTTACTATTGCTACATAAAATTGTCCTTGAAACGTTCCATTTTCATCAGTGACATCCCGGCCGGGAGTGTCCTCCAAGTTCCTTCCTTTTCTCCAACCCGACACACCTGGTGTCTCTCACACTGCAGCTCTCACGTGAGCTGAAGGGCCTCGTCCTCTCCTCCCAACCAGCAAAAACGAATGCTAGTAAGAGGGGAGTTGTGTCCCGGGGGGTGGGCAGTGGCCCGTAAAGGGGATCATTTTGACCATCCTCTGTGGCCCCTGACATGACCACGAGGGCAGATACAAATCCCAGGGCACAAACTCGGATGTTCTAGAAATTTGACTTTATTTATGAACTTACTTTTCCATTTCCAATCCCCACTCTGCCTGGTGGCGGAAACGTAGAGTGTGGGCCCCGTGGGTCTCGCTGAACCGCACAGAGCCCTCAGCAGTCAACCCCCGAGCGGCTCTGCCTGCGTGGTGGCTCCCGCGTGGGGGGGGGCATTCCCTAACAAAGGGACGTCCAAGGGTCACACCACTTACCGCCTGATGACACCAATTTTTCTAATCCAGGTGAACCACGTTCCGGGTGTTGGTGCAAAAGGAAGCAGGCCAACCCACTCCCGCCTCCCTGGCACCCCTTCGCTGGCCTTGCTAAGCCAAGAAAACCCGGGAGCTGGCCTGCGGGTTGTCAGCGGGCGGTTTTCACGTCAGCAGCATGGGCCGGGGAGGGGGCGGGGGGAACCACACGCAGTGGCCGCGGTCTGGGGGGCGGAGTGGCCAGAAGTTGGGGGGCGGGCCAAGCAGCGGAAAGGCTGGGGCCCAGGTGGGCGGAATGACCTTGGGGGGTCCCAGGGGATAGGGCGCCAGGAGTGGGCGGGGCGGCCCAAGGAGCGGAAAGGCAGGAGCCCAGGGTGGGCGGGGCGACCTTGAGGGGTGGGAGGGGAAAACGAGGCGCCTGGGGTGGGCGGAGCGTCCAGTAAGGGCAGGGCGACCCGAGTAGCTGAAAGACTGGGGCCCAGGGTGGGCGGGGCGACGGGGG